TGAATTTGCTTCCTTAATAGGATCACGATTCGACTTTGATCGTTATGGACTGGTACCACGATCTAGTCCTAGACAAGCAGATCTAATTTTAACAGCAGGCACAGTAACAATGAAGATGGCCCCTTCTTTAGTGAGATTATATGAGCAAATGCCTGAACCAAAATATGTTATTGCTATGGGAGCTTGTACAATTACAGGGGGGATGTTCAGTACCGATTCTTATAGTACTGTTCGGGGCGTGGATAAGCTAATTCCTGTAGATGTCTATTTGCCGGGCTGTCCACCTAAACCGGAGGCCATTATAGATGCTATAACAAAACTTCGTAAGAAAATCTCTCGAGAAATCTACGAAGATCGAATTAGGTCTCAACAGGAGAATAGGTGTTTTACTACCAATCACAAGTTTCATGTTGGGCGCAGTACTCATACCGGCAATTATGATCAAGGATTACTCTATCAACCACCATCTACTTCAGAGATACCCTCTGAAACATTTTTCAAATACAAAAGTTCAGTATCCTCCCACGAAATGGTGAATTAGGCAGGATCCTTTTGTACAAAATAAGAAATTGCATTGTACAAAATAAGAACAAGACAATCTTCAAAAATTTCATCGTAATCATAAATATTAAATACTTATACAAAACTTATACAAATAAAAATGTGGGAGAGATAAAAAAATGCAGGGTCGTTTGTCTGCTTGGCTAGTCAAACATGGGCTAGTTCATAGATCCTTGGGTTTCGATTACCAAGGAATAGAGACTTTACAAATAAAGCCCGAGGATTGGCATTCGATTGCTGTGATTTTATATGTATATGGTTACAATTATCTCCGTTTCCAATGTGCCTATGATGTAGCACCAGGAGGACTGTTAGCCAGTGTGTATCATCTTACAAGAATAGAATATGGTATAGATCAACCAGAAGAGGTATGCATAAAAGTATTTGTCTCAAGGAAAAATCCTAGAATTCCCTCTATTTTCTGGGTTTGGAAAAGTGCGGATTTTCAAGAAAGGGAATCTTATGATATGTTAGGAATCTCTTATGATAATCATCCACGTCTGAAACGTATCTTAATGCCCGAAAGTTGGATAGGATGGCCTTTGCGTAAAGATTATATCACTCCCAATTTTTATGAAATACAAGATGCTCATTAAATGAAAAAAATAAGAAACTAATCCGTAGCACTTCTACAACGCCAGATATTCCTTGAATAGCTGTACGTTCTTTTATAGATCAGACAAAGTAATTGAAGTTAAATCAGACAGAATAATTGAGGTCTTATTCATGTTATTATGGATCGGCTAAATAAAAAATGTAGGGATTAAAAAAAATTCGAGTAGGGCTTCATTGAGATTTGAAAGTTGTTAAGATACTTATTTCGGATGAGCCGAGCCAATAGGATGAACTAAAAAAGTTCTGCATCATGAACTATGTACCGCGCACATCAACATCGAAGGAAATGAATAAAATATGAAAGAAAATAGAAAGAAATGAAAGAAGGCGTCAGATTCTATTTGTAATGTATCTGAGATTTATTTTGGCTAGTTCTACCCCTCAATTTCCCTAGACTAGACTTTTGGGTTTTTCAACCAACTAATTTAAGCTTTTGAATATTATTGAAGAAGTATTAACATTCTTTTTGGGAGTGCAGAAAAAAGCTGGAATAATTCATTTTTTTACATACTTTATATATACATAGACATTTTTTTACATACTTTATATATACATAGAACATACATATATTCTTTATTCATCTAGAAAGAGTATATCTCCAGACACCTAGATGGATAAATATGTATGATGATCTAGACTATTAAGAAATATGTATGTTGACCCATATTCATTTTAATGAATTTGTGGAATAGATACTCATACAAATTAATCATGTGCCAGGAACCAGATTTGAACTGGTGACACGAGGATTTTCAGTCCTCTGCTCTACCAGCTGAGCTATCCCGACCATTCGTGACGCATCATCCTCATTTTAAGAGATTACTTGAGTATATGTCAACTAAAAAAAAAAGAGGATATAGCAAAAATAATTAGAAAGTTAAACGGGCCTTTTGGGGATAGAGGGACTTGAACCCTCACGATTTCTAAAGTCGACGGATTTTCCTCTTACTATAAATTTCATTGTTGTCGGTATTGACATGTAGAATGGGACTCTATCTTTATTCTCGTCTGATTAATCAGTTCTTCAAAAGATCTATCAGACTATCATGGAGTGAATGATTTGATCAATTAATATTCGATTCTTTCTTCAACTTGGAATCGATTCACATCTTTTATTTGTCATATAAATATTAAAAAATAGAGATTTTGGGTCTGTCTGGTCTAATCAATTGAAATTGTATTTCAGTACGTATACGTATGCTCATCCTTGATCCTTTCTTTTCTGGAGTTTCGATGGAAGGATCTCTTTACTAACGAAACGAAATCTTTACTAACGAAACTAAATGTCGTCAACTCCATTTGTTAGAACAGCTTCCGTTGAGTCTCTGCACCTATCCTTTTTTTATTCTCCCTTTCTGAACTCTTCTTGGTTTTCGGAAAACAGGATTTGGCTCAGGATTGCCCATTGTTAATTCCAGGGTTTCTCTGAATTTGAAAGTTATCACTTGATAGGTTTCCATACCAAGGCTCAATTCAATTAAGTCCGTAGCGTCTACCAATTTCGCCATATCCCCCCCTTTTTCTTTGAGATTAGAATCTCATTAGGATGTTCTTTTTTTTTCATTTAAATTATGAGAATTATGCCGGAACTGTTGAATTCCTTAGATATCGATTCCTATACTGAAAAATGTTTCTTTCTATTTGTATTTCAGATACTCATATTTAGTCCAATCAGAAATAATTCTATCATTTCTGTATTCGCAATTCAATATACATGGATATATACCACATATATATATTTTTTAGATACCTTTCCTTCTAGCGTTTTTCTCATGCAATTTGGAATACTCGAACGGTCGATTCTTTTTTTTCGTCTTAGTTTTAACCTTTCCGAAGGAATGTTTCATTATGATCGGAATTGGGCCTTTCCCTTTCTTTTATTTGTTTTTTTTTTATTCTTATCTTTTTTCCTTAGAACGGATAGGCTCTATATAACATAACTAAAGATAACTAAAATGGATGGAAATCTCTTATTTTTTTAGATTCAATAAAAAAGAAATCCATTTCTATTTATTAATTTGGAATAGTTAGACCTAATGTAATGGCTATAAATAATCATTCTATTAATTTCAAATTAATTTAGAAAAGAATTCGAGTTATTTCTATTCTATCTACTCTATATTATTTATTTCTATATTTCTTTTTTATTTATATAGAATATTTATTAATAAATAAAATTCAAAGAATATTCAATATCAATATATTTTAAATAAATATATTCCAATTTTGAATTCTATTCATTTTCGAATTTTAGATTCATATTAGCTATACTATCATATTAACTTTACTATATAAATAGTATATAACTATCTATATATATATATATTTTCTATATTTTAACTATATTTAACTGCATTTAGAATTTTATATTAATTATTTTATATTAATTAGTTCTATTTAGAATAATTAAATTCAAATTTCTTATTTAAACTAAAAACTTATAAATTAATTCAAATAATCAAATTTGAATTCAAAAATGAAAAAATCAAATCTTACTATACTAATTAAGATAAAGATATTAAGATAAAGATATTGATCATTAATAAACATATAATTGATTATTGAGAAACATAATCTATTTAATAAATAGATTGAAATATATTTCCTTAATCCTTATTTTCAAATTGTTATGTTCTTTATGTCTTAGAATAAAAAAAAAATGGAATATTTCTTTGAAATTCTATATTCTTTTCTATATTCATATTAATTATGTTATCAATAGCTAAGAATAAAATAGCTAAGAATAAAGAGTTAATAACTAAGATCTCAGTAGTTTATTAAATTCCTATGCATGCACAATTTCTGTTATGTGAGCCCGCTTAGCTCAGAGGTTAGAGCGTCGCATTTGTAATGCGATGGTCATCGGTTCGATTCCGATAGCCGGCTTTTCTCTATTTGTTTTGATTTTTTATATAATTGAGAATGTCTTTTTGAAATCAAAGAATATTGAAAAGGCCTTTTCCCCTTTCTTTTTTCAAGAGTCACCGATCTATTCTGTCGTAGGAACTTCCAATTATGAATTTAAATTGGGGGAGTTCGATTTCTGTAGAACAAATCAAGAAAAGAACCCCCCTTTTTTTTATATACAATAAGGTTCGGATATTGATATAATTCATCTAATTCTTCTTTGTAGTACAATACTTTCTTTGTAGTACAATACTTTAGTAGATTTCGCTTCATTTATCATATTTCTCATTTAGTTTAGTTTGAATTTAGGTTTATGAAATTTCAAATAAAAAAGGAGTCTTTATGTCGCGTTACAGAGGACCTCGTTTCAAAAAAATACGCCGTCTGGGGGCTTTACCAGGACTAACTAGTAAAAGGCCTATAGTCGGAAGCGAACTTAGAAACCAAGCGCGCTTGGGTAAAAAATCTCAATATCGTATTCGTTTAGAAGAAAAACAAAAATTGCGTTTTCATTATGGTCTTACAGAACGACAATTGCTTAAATACGTTGGTATCGCCAGAAAAGCGAAAGGGTCAACTGGTCAAGTTTTACTACAATTACTCGAAATGCGTTTGGATAACATACTTTTCCGATTGGGTATGGCTTCGACTATTCCTCAAGCTCGTCAATTAGTTAACCATAGACATGTTTTAGTTAATGGTCATATAGTAGATATACCAAGTTATCGCTGCAAACCACAAGATATTATTACAGCGAGGGATGAACAAAAGTCTAGAACTCTGATTCAAAATTATCTTGATTCATCCCCCCGTGAGGAATTGCCAAAACATTTGACTCTTCACCCATTCCAATATAAAGGATTAGTCAATCAAATAATAGATAGTAAATGGGTTGGTTTGAAAATAAATGAATTGCTGGTTGTAGAATATTATTCTCGTCAGACTTAAATCTAACTAAAATAACAAGAGATTTTGACTCCCTTCGCGTCTAAGTAAGGGGGCCAGGCCAACAAAAAACAAAAAAAGGGGTAAGGTGTTTGATCCGGGAATTTTCACTTCCATTCATCTATCATAGACATGGATCGGGTAGGAAGATTTTCATTCCTTGCCCCCTCTTTCCAGTATTTTCAGTATTCCAGAAATTAGGAATAGAGAATCCACATCAAAGAAAGTTGGAATAAAAGTACCCTTTGTTATTTGAAACATTGCGGTCAATAATATTGATGAATTAGGTAAAGGTGCGGAAAGAGAGGGATTCGAACCCTCGGTAAACAAAAAGCCTACATAGCAGTTCCAATGCTACGCCTTGAACCACTCGGCCATCTCTCCTACATAATGATTATGTCCCAGAAACCGAGTGAATAGTGAGTCATTCATATTCTATTTTTTTAGATAGCCACATACAATCAAATTTCAATAGAAAAATAGAAAAACTTTTTCTAAAAAAAACCTTCATAAACAATTTTGGAGTCCTTTTTACGTTATTTCGTACTTTGATTGTACAATTCCTTTGTTTGTGGGATTATTTTCTCACGAGAGATAATTAAATTCTAGAACGGATTGCTACCTATGCCTAGATCTCGGATAAATGGAAATTTTATTGATAAGACCTTCTCAATTGTAGCCAATATCTTATTACGAATAATTCCGACAACTTCAGGAGAAAAGGAGGCATTCACCTATTACAGAGATGGTGCGATTTGATTCTTTTTCCTTTTTTTTGCTCTCAGTCTTAGGAGAAAGACACATTCTTCGGATAGAAAGAAAAAAAATGGAAAAAAACCTACGCTTGCTGAAGGTGAAGTTTGTGGAAATAAAACAATTAATTCCTTCTGTCGTGTATCCCCGATTAATGCAGCCTCATATGCTTGAATTTTTGATTTATAGTATTAAGCGAAAGGTTATACCTATACTTATGGGTTAGGTCAACTCTATTCCACTAGTACCAATGGGCGGCATGGGGGAAGAAGCACTACGTTTAGGAATCAACAACACGAAAACTTTGTTAAAAAAAAAATATCCCCCCCTTCCTTATCGGGATCGGAACTAAGAAGAATGGTTGGGACAACAAACATCCATCTCGTTCGTATTTTGGATACCCGTATAACCATCGAAGACTGTTGAAGTGACTAATTCCGGGAAATTAAGCGGCGTTGAGGACAAAGAAATTGTTGGAGTTACCATTTTTTTTATCCAGTACCAACATACTTGATGTTAAGAAAAGATCTTTTACAGGAAGGTTGGCTAGAGATTTATTGTAAAAACACTAGCCCTGCTCAGTTCATAATGAGAATACTGCAATCTTTTTTTATTCTATGTATTTTTATCATTATGCACATAAAGGAGGAGCCGTATGAGATGAAAATCTCACGTACGGTTCTGGAACGGAGATTCTTTGAACCGAATGACGACCGTAACGGATGTCGGCTCAATCCGAAGGAAATTATGCGGAAGCTTTACAGAATTATTATGAAGCTATGCGACTGGAAATTGATCCCTATGATCGAAGTTATATACTTTATAACATAGGCCTTATCCACACAAGTAACGGAGAACATACGAAAGCTTTGGAATATTATTTTCGGGCACTAGAACGAAACCCGTTCTTACCACAAGCTTTTAATAATATGGCCGTGATCTGTCATTACGTGCGACTATCTCCACTATAGAAAGAAAAAAGAAAAGAAAGAGCAAATCCGCTAATAAATACTAGAAAAGAAAAAGGATTTCTACATATATATCGTCCAAAACAACGATTTTTATCAGCTGTAGCAAAGAAAGAAACTTCATAGAAGTTGAAATATGAAGAAATAGATATGCCTAGATACTTTTTTTTCTATGGATAAAAGATCTAATTGATAGAGAAAGCACCGTAAAGATCAATTAGCGAGGTTTTGGGCCAATCCAAGAAGAACTGCTTACTTATATCATGATAGAAAAGTTAGGAATCCACTTATGTAATAGAGTTGATCCCCTAAAGTTTTGAGCAGCGGTGTAGTATCAGATCCCAAAGATAGTAAGTCTTTTCTTTTTTATGAAGAAAAGTCTTTTTCACGGATTCTATAGAAATTTATATATCATATATGAAAGTATATGATATAGGAAACCGAGATAGTTACCTTTCAGAAAATTATAATGAGAGTCTAAATGCCGATGCTTTATTCTTCTGAAGGTAGGAGAAAAGATAAAACTAGAAAGCGGATTCCTTTTTTTTATTAATCCAAATTCAAGTTTGAAACTCATGGAATTGTCCTCTTTTTTTTTTGTTAACTCGAGAAAAAAATAGAATAGATCTAAAAAAAAATGGGGCACGAAAAGAATTGACTGCTGAGCCGTATGAGGCAGGAAACTCTCAAGTACGGTTCTAAGGGAAGGTAATTTACTCACCTATTCCGACCGCGGAGAACAGGCCATTCG